AACAGCCTTACTACTGTAATACACCTACTGTCTCCATTCTGTATGGTGATGCAACGGAGACACCTTTGGACAGCTGGGTAGAGGGTACTGTAAGAATATCAGATTTAGATGGACTTGACTAAAAAATTAAAGCTGAACTCCAGATAACACTTTACAAGCAATTACAGAAAACTTTTTTTTTTTTCTTTTGACATGAATAAATAAAAGCTGATCATTGTACACACCCCTGTCAATGTTAAATGATCTGTCTTAGTTCTGTAACTGCTACTTTGTCTAGACCGCTTGTTCTGTTAAAGTAAGTTGAAAAATAGCAGACCTATGGATGGATCACCTGAAAGTAAAGGAAGAAAGCATAAAAAAGAAAACTAATGTAGCCACCACATCTAAGAATTGGTAAGTTGCAATGTAATACTTTTTTGGGGTTTAATACAGCCCTAAGTTTAGTTTAACCAGTATAGGAGAATGACGGCCGAGCGGGATTCTCGTTGATCTGGGTGGGCGTCACATGACATTCTTCCATGTGAACCCGCAGGACTGCGCTGTGGTGAGATCTGTCACCGGCTGTGTCCATAGGACAGAGGACTGCGCTGTGGTGAGATCTGTCACCGGCTGTGTCCATAGGACAAAGCTAATGACCAATCTGTGTACCAGCCCGTTGCTGGTACCATGTGACTGCTGTGACCAATCACAGCAGGTCACATGACAATTGTAAATAATGGACCGCTTCCTTTCATGCCATCCATTGTATACAGTAGTTTGTTGGCTGTGATTGGTCACAGTGGACACATGTACAGACTGGGCCAATCACAGCCTATTTGTGTAATGTGATTAGCTGTGGTCACAGCTAATCACAACAAAAACACTGAATGAATCGATTTCATTCAGTTAAATGCTTGCCTATAGCAGTGAAATTCAATGCTGTAGGCAATCATAATGTGTAAAAAAAAAAAAAAATACTGGTCACTTACCCAGAGTAGTACAATGTTACTTTGGTAACATTGTTACTCTGGTCACAGTGTTTTATTGAAAAAAAAAAATCGTAAAAAAAAGAAAAATTTAATAAAAATGTAAAAAAAAAATCTATATAAATAGTTATTTTTTCCACACATGGTCACCAGTTAGTGTGCCGGATCACTGCACACCGCAACACCAGATATATGATGACACTGTACTGCAAGGTGACAGTATATGGGGAAAACAAATTGTGAAAAAAAAAAAATACTTTTTTTTTATTTCTTTATTTTCCAAACAATTACAACTTCAGAAAACTCTCCATGCCTCTTATTAAATACCGCATACTGCCTGCTTTCCAAAAGGGGGTAATTTGGAGGACATCCTGACAACTTTGTGCCTCAAAAATGAGATCCGTGCCTTCAGTACCTCAGGTTTGATTGATTTTCAGATATATCCCATAGTTTGTGGACTCTATAACTTTCCTACAAACTAAATAATCTACACTAATTTGGGTTACTTTCTCCAAAGAAATGTAGCAGAATACATTTTGGCCTAAATTTACAAAGAACAATTATTTGCAAAATGTTATAACAGAAACAAAGAAAAGGAGTAGAGTTTACCAGCTTTTCAAATGCCAAACCCGTGTAAGTGCATTTTTGCGTTTAGGCGCATTTTGTGGCTGGTCCATATCCAGATGCTGTCCAGTGCCTTTTTTTTCATTAAAAAAATACATGCACAGCATTTTCCATGTATTCAAATGGACCCAGTACACCAGCGCAGTCGGTTCCAGGTTTCGCGTGAAGGAAAAAATGGTAGAACGTGCTGCATTATGCTCATGATGGGATCCATAGTGACTACAACCAGAAAAGATAGGTAATCTCAACACATACTGCTCTCTCTGCTTCTGATCTCTACTTCACACAAAATGTCTGAAATAGTTCATTTATTTAATATTTTTCAGTGCATTCTGGGCATTTGGGAGGGTCTCCTGAGGTTATCTTTCAAAAATGCTTCTAACCGCAAAACGCGCATAAACGCGGTAGGTAAACGCGGCTACACTGAGGTTTTTAAACCTACGTTTTCCAGCAGTCAGTTTCCAGCGTCAGAAGAGTTTTTCAAATGCCCCGTGTGAGCCCTATGAACAATGAATGAAAGTTAAGCAATTGACACTTCACGGTAAGCCAGGTCAGAGAGGAATGTCTTGCATTCATGTAGAAGGTTGTGGTTTTTTTTTTCATCACGGACCAAATATTAGCTGAGCAGCTTAGCAGGATCTTCCTGTTCCTGTTATTTGTCGTCTGCTTCATGGTTTGCCTGCATGGTCACAGCAAAATCCTACACATAGATTGACAGGTTTCCATGTAAGTATTCTGGAAAACACATCCAAGGCTCATGTAAATTTTTTTCAGCAAGACCATTGCTTGCATTCAATATAAATTGCTGGTAATATGTGGAGTGTATAACAATTGACTTGTCTAATCTTAGAGCAGTGAGTAAAAATCTTGATTCTTTTCACTGCGATTTTACCTTTTTTAAAAGGAGGGGCTTCACTTCATATTAAAGTAGATGTAATCAATAACTTAAAGCAGTAACCCACAAGCAAACATTTATTATATTGCAGTTTATCAATTCCTAGATGTGATGGCTGCATTGGTTTTCTTTTTTTAGGTTTTCTTTCTTTTATTTCCATCCAGTAACCCAGTAAATCTGAACAAGAACAAGCTCTCCTACACATGTATAAGTTAAGACAAACCATTTTCCACTGACAGCGGTGCTTACAATCATCAGCTTTTATTTATTTATATAAAACCTTAATCCCAAAAGGAAAAAAAATATGTTGCTGTGACAGTTTGAAGCATCTCCAGTCACAGCTGGAGTTTGGCTTCAGTTTGTTAGTGTATCTAAGGACCTTCATGGCAGAATCGCCCTGCACTATTTTAATTAAATCTGCAGATTGTAAATGACTTTTGAATTTATATTAACATGTTAAAACTTTTATAGTATTTTAGGGATTAGATTTACATATACTTTATTCTGTATGAGGATCTCCACATATGTGGGTTGTAGTTGTGCACATGAGAATTGATGTCAGTTTTGGAGCTAGCTTGCTACTTTATTGTTTTAAGTAGAAACAGAACTGTAAATGTGATTTGTAACAATAAATCTTCTAATTCTGTATAGTTACATAGTTAGTCTGGCTGAAAAAAGACAAAAGTTCATCTAGTTCAACCATAAAAAAAAGTTACAATCCTACACCCACAGTTGATCCAGGGGAAGGCAAAAAACCCAGCAAAGCATGATCCAATTTGCTTCCTGCAGGGAAAACAATCCTTCCTGATCCCCCAGAGGCAATCGCTTATTTGCTAGATCAACTTTACCTATAAATGTTAGTATCCAATAATGTGTCCAAGAAAGAATCCAGGCCTTTTTTAAAGCAATCCACTGAGCTGGCAGAACCAACTCTGGAGGGTGTCAATTCATCTCCAAATATCACCCAAACCGTCCTCTCCGCTCCTCGCAAGACCTCCTGCTCTCTAGCTCCCTTCTCTCCTCCTCCCATGCTCGTCTCCAGGACTTTTCCAGAGCTTCCCCCATCCTCTGGAACTCTCTACCCCAATTTATCAGACTATCGCCTACTCTGCTCACTTTTAGGAGATCTCTGAAAACCTATCTTTTTAAGGAAGCCTATCCTGCCCTCAGCTAATAATGGAATCTTCTACTCTCCTCCCAACCAGTCCATCCCCCACAGTTACCTTTTGTACCACTAGCCCCTCCCTCCTAGATTGTAAGCTCCAAGGAGCAGGGCCCTCCTATCCCTCTTGTATTGAACTGTATTGTTGCTGTATTGTCTCCCGTTATATAGTAAAGCGCTGAGCAAACCTGTTGGCGCTATATAAATCCTTTATAATTATATAATAATCCACATTTTCACAGCTCTTACTGTGAAGAAACCTTTCTGTATTTGAAGATTTCAAACTTTTCTATAGAATGACTTTATTAACCTGTCCTCTTCTAGGGTCTATTCACACCATCTGCTTTTGGTAACTAATGTGCCCTGCATGCATAATTTTTTGGCAGCACACCATGCTGCAAAGCAAATCTGTCAACAGATGTATTGGGATGTTATTCAGAAGGAATGTCACCACATTGTACCAATGCATTTAAAGCAGGGCTCGGCAAATCCCAGGCGCCATGTTGCCATGGCGACTAGAAATTGCATCCTTGCGCCTGGGTTCACACAATTACCCCCCTTTGACTTCAGTGCAAAAACGCCTTCCATTGACTTCAATGCAAAAACGCCTCCTGTTGACGTCAGTGCAAAAACCCCTGTCAATAGCAATCCTATGTGAATGCTTATCTCCACATGCCACTCTACTCTATCGCTCGTCAATCTGGAACGCTCTGTTACAAACTCCCATAGGACCCTTTTTTTTAATGGCACTCAAACTCATATGCATGAACCAATGTGGCTCCATTCACACCTGGGCATTTTAAGATCGCGACACAATCGTTGTGATTGCAAAATGCAGGTTCAGGTGGCATTATTTTCAATGACACCTAAAACGTGGTTCTGTTTTGCTGTTAACCACGGCAAATCGCATCTCAGGAAGCTTGTCACCCAAAAGTTGCCTTGATCTGGGTGCTGACAACCCATGCTACGCAAGAAAAAAAAAATGGCTTTTTTTTAGCTGGCTCCTAGATTCAAAGCAAATTTGTCAAGCCATGATTTAACATGCATTGCCATGTGTTACCGAACTTATATGGTATAAACGAGTGTTTAATCACTTCCTGTCCGGCCCATGTAAATAAACGGCCGGACAGGAGCAGTGCAGGAGCGGGTTGCCATTCATAAACGGCGTCCGCATTTTCAGCCTGTGCGCGCTCTTTGGGAGCACGCGGCACTGATCGCTGTACCGGACCTCTGTGTGAGGTCCCGATCATGTGATCACTGATTGGCCAATAGTTGAATAGTAGTAAGCAAGATGTCACTTCTGACATCATTGCTTACTACGTGTGAAATCTGTGAATAATCACAGAGATCACATGGTACAAGGCTATTCACAACAGCCTTGTACCATGTGACAAGCTGTGACCAATCACAGCTCGCACAGTATTTCTCAATGGCTGCAAGAATGCATCCAGAGAGAAGTAGAAATGATTGCTTTTACAGCCTTTATGGGTGTAAAAGCAATCAGTGTAAAATAATAAAAAATCTTCATCACCTCCCACAAGTAGTACAGTTCACTGTGATGACACTGTACTGCTAGCCAAGATGACAATATGTTTTAAAAAAAAAAAACACAAACAACATAAATAATATAAAAAAAAAAGTAAAAAAAAAATATAGAAAATTATTTTTGTGGTTATAAAATGCTAATTTGGGTTTTTTCTTTCTTGTTTTTGTTATTTTTGCAATTGTTATTCAAAGTGTGATAGCACTGAAGGCTGAAAATTGGCCTGGACAGGAAGGGTGTAAAAGTGTCCGGACTTGAAGTGGTTAAAGTGTTATCCTAAAAGTTCCAATCAGATATTTGTTTCAGTGTTTATATTCTGCTTTTGCTTAAATTTAGCCTTTTTGTTTGGAGTTCATTATTTGTTCTAAAAATATCCGGTGATCCTGCCAGTTCTCCTCTGAAGCCATTTCATTCTAACCACCCCAAGCACTTAGCAGATCCTTGATGGTGTGGTCAGTTTGCACTTCTGCTCTTCTTCCTTGAAAGTACAGGATATTGTGATGACACATGGCATATCTGTATCTGTATCTCTGCAGTCAGTTTATTTGCCACGTCCCCTTAATTTGATTGACAGTGGGCACCTCGCTGTCAATCTGCCGCTGCTTGTAGCCAATACACTAGAAAAAATGTACTTTCCAGCTGTGTGCAACCAGGGGCGGACTGACAACCCATGGGGCCCCCGGGCAATAGGAGATCATGGGGCCCCTGTGTCCTTGCCCCCTCAAGGTACCAGGGGCATTTCATGGGGCCCCCTACTGACCCCGGGCCCTTGGGCAGTGCTGCTCGAATGATCAGTCCGCCCCTGTGTGCAACATCAGCTTGCTTACTTTAGACACCCCTCCTGCTATGAGCAGGAAGGAGTATTTGAAGGCTATGCAGTCACATGAAGGTCCAATAAACAAGAAGGTCAACAACAAATATTCATTACAAAATTAAAAACAAGTACACTTAAAGTGTTACTAAACCCACAACAGTAAAATCAGTCTGTATATGCAGTAAAGCTTGCTTGTTTTATACTCACTGTGGAAATTAAGGGGTTAATGCTCTGCATTGTGTAAAAAGGCTGTTTGATCCTTTCTTCTCTGTTCCTCGCCTTTTTCAAGTGACCATCACTTATCTCCAGACTGAACCGCAGGCATGCACATGCTCAGTTTGGTGTATATTGCTAGAGAGGTTTTTTTTTTTTGTTTTTTTTTTTTTTCTTCGGAGAGTGAATGTGGTCAGCACAGAGCCAATCAGCACAGTCCAGACAGAGGTCAGGGGATTTCCATGCTCCTATAGCAGAAAGATAACTCCTACAAGCTTTAGCTAGTGCTGGGCTGAACACTGATAGAAGCCACAAGACTGCTGTAACTGCTGATGAGAAAAGGTATTTAGCAGTTTATATTTACTAAAATAATTGCATGTTGTGTGTACTGTGGGAGACCAGATATAGTGTATGCAGGGTCCTGGGTTTAGTAACACTTTAAAAGTGATTTTTTTTGCTGTCATTTAACTGGCTTGTGTTTTATTGTGTTCACAAATAGTTAACCTCTTGCTGGCGTAATACATATGTGCGGTGGTAAAAGAGGGTGGGCGTAAACAAGCACACGCTACACACGTGTCCATGAACAAGGTTTCTTTGCTGAAAGTGCTCCCAACACAGTGACCAATCTGTCATAGACCGCTGTCGGTTTATGATCTGGAGCTGACAGGATGATCTCCTAATCACGTGACTACTGTGACAGCCAATCACAATAGTCATGTGAATGGGAAGACCATCCTGCCCGCTAGGTGTATAGACCCATTTGATGCCGGGGCAGAGTGGAAAGGGGTTTAAAGAAATCTGTCAGAAAAGCAAAACACCTGTGTGATTAGGCAATGAGGGAAGCAGCCTTTCCCTGACTCATGCACCACTTACTCATTCTGGAGCAGTGAATTGAAGCCCGTTTACTGAGTCACTATACTGGAACTAGCTCAGTGACTGCTTCGATGAGCCACTAATCACACAGGTTTTGTGTCTTGGCTGTCACTTTAATTTGGTAACAGTGGCTCAGCCTAAAGTGATGTAAGGAACTGACTTAGATTTTATCTTTATTTCCTAGACAAGGGCTGAAGATCTCCAAAACTTGCACTGTGTTTGAGTTAATGTCACTGATGTGAAGGACCCAATCTCATTTTTTTTGCAACTGGAAGTCATTACTTAAATAAACTTTACCGGAGTATGTAAGTCAAATGCTGTTTTACCTTGTCAAAGTGTTGGTTTTCTTGCTCCTCTGTTTTTACTTTTTTATTGTGAATAACCTGTGTTGATGTTTTTCCAGAAAAGTCTTTGGGTCCTTTCACACGGGGCGGACCCATTTAGCGGATCCGTTTACTCAGCGGGAGATCTCTCCGCTGATCTGAGCAAGCGGATGACAGGTCTGTGTCCACTCTCAATGGGTGGTCGGATGAAAACAGGCCGCCTGTCCATTTCCATCTGATCCGATCCAATGGACAGAATATAACTGGATACTAACATTTTATAGGTAAAGTTGATCCAGGGAATATCCGATTGCCTCTTAGGGGATCTGGAAGGATTTTTTTTTTTCCCTGCAGTAGCAAACTGGATCATGCTTTGCTGGGTTTTTTTTTTGCCTTCCTCTGGATCAACTGGTTATAGGATTATAACTTTTTTTTTTTTTTTTAATGGTGAAACTGGATGGTCTTTTGTCTTTTTTTTTCCAGCCAGACTAACTATGTAAAAGGGGAATTGGATCCCCTTCCTTCCCTTTTTTTGCGGATCTGATTGGATGTCAGCAAGTGTACACGGACACATGTTAGTTTACACATCCCCGCTCCATAGAGGATATTTGTCTGTTTACACCCGCCACATACAATCCGATCCTCCAAAAAGAGACAGATGGGGATCGATTCCCCTTCTGTCCATTGGATGGGGTAGGATGGCGGTCGGATGGAAAGGGACAGGTGGTCTGTTTCCATCAACCACCCATAGAGGACAGCGGGCTGTGTCTGTGTCCGCTCTGCAGCAGCGGAAGGGGACACTGACCTGTCATCCGCTTGCTCAATGGGGATCAGAGGAGAGAGATCCCCCACTCAGCAAGTGGATCTATGGATGGGCCCTTAAAGGAGCCTTATAATAACATGGGTAAAAGAAAAAGTGGTTCACAGAAAAAGGGGGTTAAAAATGCAGTTCATAAACTGCAGCTCTCCAAAAAAAGCTGTGGAAAAAAATGCAGTTTGGGAAAAAACAAATTGGTTGTAAAAAAGTGGGTTAAAGAATGATGGTTGAGGAAAAACTCTATTAAAAATATGATTCAAAAAGATTGAAAAAACACAGGTAAAAATTAACATGGTTTAGAAAAAAAAAATGAGGGTAATAATAAATGTGATTAGGAGAATATGTCGGCAAAAAAAAAAAAACAGTATTTTTTTTGCTATGCTATTTTTGCTATTTGTAAACTACAATTACAGTGATATCTATAGTAATCCACCATTTGTATGTTTTTTTTTTTTTTTGTCTTGTTTATTTTTTTTTACCACTTTATATTCTTTTTTTTTTTTTTTTAAAGAAGTACAATACCAGAAGCAGTGCTTTGGAGAACAGTCTTTTTGACATAGTTGGCTTCTGCCTGTTATGCTGGGAAATGTGACTCCTGAGCGGTGAAGCGTACTTGATAAATATGATGCCTGTTTGCGTAGTATTCTGTGTTTATAACAGCTGGTTTCAGATCTCTGGAAACCAGTCTGAATATCAGAGCACACTGCAGGGATTTACACACCCTTCCTGTAAAGAGTATTAACTGTATGATATTTCAAGTTGCTTTCCACACATCCAGGAATAAATCCCACTCAGTGTGTTCCAACATTTGCTGTGTTGTAATGAAGCGATTGCACAATGTGTTTTCATAACTGATTGCTATCCCGTCTGCTTGGCTGGAGTGTAGCCAGATTAGTCTTTCATTTATGGTGTCTCGTACTCTGAAATGCATATGTTTCTCCTCGCTTAAAGCTGAATTTAGCAAACGGATCACTTCATTGTAAACAAAATGCATGCGTGCAGGGCTAGTCTGTGATGTGTGTAGCCATGACTTTGTGTTCTGTTTTCTTTGGAAGATTCTCAACCTCAGCTGACCTATGAAATGGCAGAGAATGGCACTGATTGTGAGCAGCGGCGTGTCGGAGTCTCTAAAGAACAACACAATGGGAACTTTACAGGTATGTTGTTCAATTGTAAATGATTGCTTATTTTTTGCCATGTAAGGTAAATATCCTTCAGCATCACTGGCACGTTGAGCAAAAGTCTTTGCTTAGAGAAATCTACACAATCCTTTTCAACAAAGTGTTGTGAGACAAAACTTGTATTTTTATATACATTTATGGATGTTTAGTATTCTTACTTTTATACCTATATTTTGTGCTCTGCATATTTATAAATCTGGAGAATGACAAGAGGTGACTTGGGAAGCACACACAAAGCAACTACATTTTTTTGTTGAGAATGAAGCAATCATCTCCTTCACTGCAGTATTCAATCTGCTGATGTTTTTGGTGAAACTAACACATGATTCCACCCATTTTGTGGGAGGATCTGTCAGCTATGATCATATGATCAGTCCCAGTGAAGTCCCAGAAAAGTCAATCTCACAAGCAGTAAATTATGTTTCTTGGAGTGTTAGCACACAGACATACTGCTGTGAGGACAAGATAGCCAGACCTAATAAATAAGTCAATAAATGCATATAGGCAGGAGTTTGCATCCCAGGAAAAAAGCTGTTGGGGTTCATGCATGTGTGGGCTTTTAAAGGATAAGTTCACCGTTTTTAGGGTGGAACATGTAACATGTTCCCACTGCTGCAGCCACCGCTCGCTGTCCTCTCTCCCTGTGACAGCA